CCCCCCCCCCCCTTTTTTTTTTTTTTTGCTTATCAAATCTAGGGATTCCTTGAAATTCTGAAAAGCTGAAAAGGGTTCCTCGGCCAAATAAAATTAGGATACACTGCCATAGAGAGTGCTTGGCTAATCACAAGGAAGTCCTGTACCGATAGAATTTAATGGGGAGGCAGGTAGAAAGTTAGTTCTTCGTGGAGTAGTGTCCCCGTGGGTGCTTTACTACAGGTGTTGGGCTTGTCCGCTCACCTCATTACTACCGATCCTACCATTCCCATTCACCTTCACACTACACAGTGCAGTCAAGATCACTGAGGTCCACCAACGTCACGATATTCTTGCCACTACAGGAGCGCAAGTTCTTATTCTCCAAGGCACTCCCCTCAAACGTATCACCATCACACCTGGCACTACACCTACTACTATCGTGAACATCCACACTTGAGTAGTGCGGTATGTTCTGGATCTAGATCACTGAGATCCAGATGATCTCAGTCTCCACAACATCCGACTAATGACATCCCACCTCCTAGACAGGCTCCTCCGACACTCACAGGTGACGCACCCTCTGTTTTGAGCCAGCAGGAAAGGAATGATAATATACCCTCCCACCACGAGCAACAGCATATGGACTCCCCCACTGATCAGTCGTCCTCCTCACCAGATCATGCAGTATTCCAGGGTGACTCTTCCCCAGTGGATGACTACAAACAGTTCCAAGAGCTGTTCAAAAGGGTAGCCCAGTCCTATGAACCACATACCATGGACATGTCACAGAAATAGTTTAAAAAATTTACAACCATCCCAAAAAACCAAGTTAGCGCTTCCCTTTGACAAGGCCATCTTGGAAATTGCCAATGACATCTGGCAAACTCCAGCATTGGCGCTACTGACGAACAGATGTGCTGATAAGAAATATTTTGTCACTTCTAAGGATCATGATTTTGATCATTATACTAAACTGGTTGCTATCCTGGAATTTCTGCCTGTGGCAAAAAAGCACATTTTGAAGGCAGTAGTGCAGGAGAGCTATGCAGTAGCCTGCACAGAAGCCTGCACAGCACTTCAAATTGCCATAGATATCACCGACACTGCCTCTTGGACCACAGTGACATTAGTGGTCATGCGGTGCGCTTCCTGGCTCCACCTGGCATCAGTACTGAAAGAACTCCAACCAAAAGTAGAGGACCTACCCTTCGACCATCAATTGCTGTTCGCTCAGAACACTGAGCAGGTCTTCCATTCTGACAAAGACTCGCGTACCACACCGAGGACGCTCGAGATGTATACACCACCATACAGATGTAAGAGATTTGGTCCATACTATAAACAGAGACCTTTCTCATATGCCGCGCCCCACTTCAGGCCATATGATCAGCTGAGGCAGAGACAGCGTACACAGAGACACCGCCAACAACCAAGCAAAGCATCCAACCAACAGCACCCTCAGCAGCAGGTTTGACATGTCGATCGAGAGACTGTGTGCTATTCCCCTTATAGAAATAAGGCTCCACACGACGTGACCACTGTTCCATCACCGGCTGAGACCGTACTACCGCCACTGGTTCGCGATAACCACAGACTGTTGGGTCAGAGAAATCGTCACATCCGGTTTCACCATCCCATTCTCTACCCAGCCCCCTCCCTCCCCTCCTACCCTGTCCCTCTTCAGGGACCCCTCTCACAAACCTCTTTTGCACCAAGAGGTTTTAAGTATACTTACCATCGGGGCAGTGGAGATGGTGCCGAAGCAGTTCAGAGGGAAAGACTTCTATTCCCGATATTTCCTCACCCAAAAGAAGTCTGGAGGGTGGAGACCTATCCTGGATCTCCGCAGACTCAACTGCTACCTTCAAAAAACAAAAATTCAAGATGGTCATGTTAGCCTCTATCATTCCAGCTCTGAACGAAGGGGATTGATTCGCATCCCTCGATCTGGAGGACACTTATTTCCACGTAACCGTGCACCCGGATCACAGGAGGTTCCTCGGTTTCACACTGGGTGCATGACATTACCAGTATAGAGTGCTACCATTCGGCCTCTTGGCAGCACTGAGAGTGTTTTAAAAAACCTTAGCAGTCATAGCCGCCGACCTCTGAGGTCTCGGCATCACTATCTTTTCGTATTTGGACAACTGCCTGCTGAAGGCTCCTTCTGCAGATGAAGCTATGGCAGCGGTCAACACATCCAGGGTTACGTTCGAAGCCCTAGGGCTCATTCTCAATCTCCCGAAGTCTTCTCTGATGCCTTCCCAGTCTCTTGAGTTCATTGGGGCGAGGCTGGACTCTGTAGCCGCTACGGCGTATTTACCCCTGGACAGATTCCATACCATCTAAGACCTCGGGAACGCCTTACTTGCTGCCCCCAAATCACCCATATACTTACCTGCCTGAAACTACTGGGTCACATGGTGGCCACCACTTATGTGGTACCCCACGCAAGACTCCACCTGAGGTGCCTTCAACATTGGGTACTCACCGTATACACACCAGGCAACCAGAGCACACGCAATTCTGTTGTCCCCAAACACTTGAAAGACTCCTACTGTGGTGGCTCAACCTGAAGAATATCCTATCAGGCGTCCCCTTTCACAGCCTGAAACCAGCTGCACAAATCACCACAGATGCATCCCTAATCGGTTGGGGAGCTTATATGCGTCACTATCATTTTCAGGAGCTTTGGACGCATCAGGAGTCCCTATAGCACATAAACTTTCTGGAGTTGCAAGCTGTGTTCAACGCCTGCAAACACTTCCTGCATGTAATATGAAGCATCACAGTACGAATTCTCACCAACAACATTCGCATTGTCTACTACATCAATCAGCAGAGCGGTGCCAGATCCCAATCCCTCTGCACTGAATCCATCCACTTATGGAATTGGGCTGTCCGGCATGGAATCACACTCACTACTGCTTACCTCCCTGGCAGGAACAATACTATTGCCGATGCCCTCAGCAGGGCCTTTCCCCTGCAATGTGAGTGGGAATTGCTCAACGAAGTAGTCTGCAACCTCTTTGAGCATTGAGGGTATCCCACCATAGACCTTTTTGCCACTCGGGTCAACAGAAAGTGCCGCCTCTATTGTTCGAGAGCAGGCATAGACACAGCTTCCCTTGGGGATGCCTTCCTTATCGACAGGAGACCTCACCACTTACTCTACGCCTTTCCCCCCATCGCCTTCACTCCACGGTTGCTGGAGAAAATAGATAGAGAGGGGGCAACAGTGATAATGGATATTACCATTCTGGCCCCGACAGATCTGGCTCTCAGCTAACACAGATGTCAGTATCACAACCATGACGACTTCCGCAGTTACACAACTTATTGTCGCAACGGCACGGGTCCCTCCTTCACGCCCACATCGACCGTTTTCACCACATGGCATGGCTCCTAGCTGGCTCCAGGGCCCAGAAATGACTTGCTCTCAGGCAGTCAAGGACGTCCTCATACACAGTAGACGCCAAACCACCCAAAAGACCTACCTTCACGATTTCAGTCGTGGTGCGAGGTAAGGGCGTCGATTTCAGTCATGGTGCGAGGTAAGGGCTGTCGATCCTCTAGTGATATCGATCCAGCAGATACTAGACTATATTCTACAACTGAAGACCAGAGGACTAGTGATCTTTTCACCATCTAGTGGAGATTTCTGCCTTTCGTCCGCCCATCGAAAGTTGGTCAGTCTTCGCTCACCCGCTTACCAAAAGATTCCTAAAGGGTATCGCAAACCTGTATCCCCCTCTCAAACCTCCCCCGGAACAGTGGGACCTAGGTCTGGTCCTGGACACTCTGACCCATCCTCTCTTTGAACCACTTGCAACATGTAATCTGCATACACTTACGATGAAAGTGACATTCTTGCTTGCCATCACCTCTGCACGGCGCGTGAGTGAACTGGCAATACTCTGCTGATCCCCCATAAACATTATTCACCGAGTGGGGATAACACTGCATATTCACCCTGCCTTTCTGCCAAAGGTCAACTCTCCATTTCATGTAAACGAACCTATAACCTTATCTACCTTTTACACCAAACTGCACTCCAACCTGGAGGAGATGTGCTTACATACGCTAGATGTCAGAAGAGCGCTTGCTTTTTATCTGCAAAGAACGTGCCCCTTTCGAAAGTCACAGCATCTTCTGTTGTCTATAGCGGACCTTTCTAAGGGCCAGCAACTTTCTGCACAGCGCATTTCCACCCTTATCATATCCTGCATCACTCGCTGTTATTCCTTGCGTAATAATCGTTACCTCATAGACCGAGGGCACACTCTACTAGAGGGATTGCAACCTCCACGGCTTTCCTGAAACGTGTGCCGCTCTGAGACATATGCCGTGCAGTCACTTGGTCTTCCATCTTGACCTTCGCTGGACATTACACCCTTGCAAGCATGCTAACATCCAATGCTGCGGTGGCCCAGGCAGTCCTATCCATGGTGCAGAGACCTTGATTCCAAAGCACATCATTTACATCAGACCACTGCTTTGTATTCACCTGTAGTGGAGCACCCATGGGGACACTACTCGACGAAGAAGAGTTACTCACCTGTGCAATAACATCTGTTCAAGATTTGTGTCTCCATGGGTGCTCCATGACCCGCCCTCCTCCCTGATTCAGAACTGTTCTCTGTTTTTTCAGATAGTTTCTCCTAGCTGGAACTGTCAGGCTGGACCGCGCTCCACAGAAAGGGTGCGAACAGCACGAGGCAGCATCTGCGCATGCGTAGTCTGGTGGGGGCTACTGCTAAGGAAAACTCTCTGAGCTGGTGTGCCAGGATGTGCCCAACATCTGTAATGGAGCACCCATGGGGACACACATCTCGAAGGACAGACATTACTGCACAGGTGAGTAACTCTTGTTCAGTCAACTAAGGAATGGAGCTGGTAATAGAAGCCTTCCTATGCAGTGGCATTAAAGTATTCAGATGTTCAGTAATTTGAGAGATGGCTTATATACAGGGCTTGACAAGTCTGCTCGCCCACTCGCCTGTGGCGAATAGATTTTGGCAGCTAGCGAGCTGTGACGGGGCGGAGCCACCCCGGCGTAGTGAGGATGACCCGCCCAGCACTTCAACGGCGCTGACCCCCGTGCTGCATGGGCAGCGCTGTGTTCTGACAGTGGTCTGCGCCGCTTGTTTCCATGCGGCTGCCCAGCTGAGCAGCGTGCGGGGGGAGGGCCCGAGTCCTGGGACGGGAGCCGGAAGTGGGGGCGGGGCCACACACGGGCGTAGGGCGGGGCCAGAGCTTGTGTCCCTGTCGTCACAAGAGAGCACCGCTTTCAAAAGGCGAGTAGAGGAGAGTGGAAGAGAGAAGGGAGGAAATATTATTTCCAAACGTCGTCATGGGCCGCACAGTGAGCCTCTTCAGGCCGCATGCGGCCCGCAGGCCATATGTTGTGCAGACCTACTTCATCAGAAGACTGGAAAAACAGCTTCTTCTCAGTAATATTTCCAGGGGCAAATTTTTTATAATTGTCGTCATCATTATTTAAATAAGAGATTAGGTAAGTGACCTGAACTTCTGAGGAGTCCATCAAGGGATAGGCGAATACATAAATCAGGATTTATTTATTTTAATCCTTTCCTGGTCATGTCCCCAGTTACAAAAGCACTAGCCACATCTATCACAATTCATTGGCTCTGCACCCATCAAGAATTAGCTAGGAGATCCTCTCAGACTAGACTGGAGGAACAAAAGCAAATTCTAGTTCTAAAAGTTCTTTCAATTCTCAAACAGAAATACTCAACTCTTTCAAACAGTGGTTAATAAAAAACTTGCACTAGAACACACAGTAAAAATGATTTTTTTATTTCATACTACACAAGAGTCATTAAGAGACTGCCAACAAGGAACACCAGAAAATTCAACTTCTCTAAAGATCATTTTATCGGAAGACAGGTCTTATGCTAGTTTTAGTTTCTACTAAATACCTTCTGCAACAGAACAATATAAACAGTAAGGCATATTATTTAAATTGAAAGGAATTCCAATCAAGGATCAGGGCCCCATTGTGCTACTTTGCTAATTGCCTGTTGAAAAGGAAATAATTATTTTTAGGCAAAAAAATTCCAAAACTAGAGAGAGTTGCTTTGCTTACCTACTGTCACCAGCATTTGCCACATAGAGTTTCCCCAACATATACACAACAACAAGGGCTGTGCAGCCACCAGATATATTGTAAACACTCCTCTCTCGCTCGATTTGCAAGTCCTGAGGAAAACAGAAGAGAGTTTATAAAATAGCTGTGCAATTAGCATTTAGGAAGAAATTTTATTAAAAACTTAACATATTCATATTTCTAATCCAAAAGTTCTGTTGAGTTTGTCTGCTTGTTGCTGCCAGAACTGTATGTTCCGGGAAAAAAATGGAATGACTATGAGCAATGTACACAGGGCCCAATCCCATTTGTTCCATGGATAAAGTATTCTGTTTAGTATCTTGCAAGGCATACAAGAACGAAGTGCAGTGTTACCCACGGAGGCCATCCTCTGACGAATATTTGAATTACACTCTGATTTTCTGATATATTCACAATTTCTATTACTGCCTACAAATCAAAATTGAGAGGGGTGGAGGGGGGGAACAAAAGAAATCAAATCTAAGAGTATTTTGTCAGAGAAATATAAGCATAAAATAAACATCTTTAATATATCTGCCATCTTTGCCATAGACAAGTTTTAAGTTGGTATTCATCCCTATGGATTTTTTTTTAAACCAAGACAGGAGTATTTCAAAAAAGAGGCAGAAACTTTTAACCATCAAAATAATTTAAACCCATACACTAAAGTGCATTTTGAAGGCACTACCAACTATGTTAAAATAGCTTTATTCCTTGGTTTTTACTAACAATCCTTTCAAAATCTGAAATCAATGTCTGTTCCCTTACCCATCTTCAGTCTGCTGTGCACATGCTTTGGGATTGTAAGGATGCAAATATTATATTTTGTTTTAATAGATGACTTCAAAAGTATTTTTTATGATGCAAACGAGGGAGTACTACAACAAGCCTGATTTTTTCCAGAGTATGTCTACATTACAAAATTACATTCACATAAGTTATGATGATGATGTACAGACACCATGATAATTAAATCACCTTTGCATATTTACACTATGTTTTTTCCATGCGGCTGCCCAGCTGAGCAGCGTGCGGGGGGAGGGCCCGAGTCCTGGGACGAGTGCCGGAAGTGGGGGCGGGGCTGCACGCGGGCGTAGGGCGGGGGCAGTGTAGGATGGGGCTCCTTAGTGTCCCCGCTCTGGGCTGCTTCCTACCTCTGCTTCTCCTTTCATGTCCTCTGCTCTCTGCTCCACTCCCCATCTCCCTCCTGCCTTCTCTGACCTCCTCCAACTCCTGTCCCCCTCCGTTCTCCCCCTTCACTCCTCCGCCCAATGCCATCTTCTAGCTCACTCCTCTGTTCTCCCCCCTCTCCCTCCGTTACTCTCTTCCCTCCTCTCTTCTGCTCCCCTTTTGAATGCAGCGCTCTCTTGTGCTGGTGCCTCTCCCCGATGTCAGGGACGCATGCGCACTCTGACCCCGCCCTAAGCCCACGTGTGGCCCCGCCCCCGCTTCCAGCTCCCGTCCCAGGACTCGGCCCCCCTGCATGCCACTCAGCTGGGCGGCCGCACAGGAGCAAGCGGCGCAGACCACTGTCAGAATGCTGCGCTCCCCGTGCAGCAAACATGCCATCCTGGTTGTCGCGTTCTCCGGGTAGCACGCACCTGCATGGTGGGGGTCACGCAGTGGGAGTGGCGAGTCCCTTTGTCTGGCAAGTAGTGTTTTCTATAATTTGTCGAGCCCTGCTTATATGTATTAGTCTACTCAAATGATTAAATGATGTTCAAGTGTTGGCATGAAATTGCATTGCCCTCCCAAACCTCACATAAAAAATATCCAATTGTTTTGTTAACTTTTCTGTACTGCTGTCACACCATGAAATATGGGGCCCATAAGAAATCTGCTTTTACTTAATTGTCACCTGTAAAGTTGTTATATTCCTATGCATTCAGTCATTTAAAAATCTATAGTACTACTTGGCTCAGATACATTATTAGAAAGCAGCCATCAGTGTTGTAGTATTGTGTGTTATGCTCCCTGCAGGCAAAGCAGCATTCTTTGCAGTGGAGAGCACATTCCAGTCCACATTCTCAGTGATGAGACTGTACAAATAAGGAAGCAAACAGTCCCGACTTGTACTGACTTTCAATGCAGTAGAAATAACAGGTGGATTGATAGTGAAGTCCATCCTTACCAAAGAGGGAAAAGGACAGACTAGCCCTGAAAGAAGTGTTATTTTTAAAATGTCAAAGAAGGAATTCTGAGCCCAGTAACTAATGGGAATAAACTATCTCTGGGCAACAATAGTTCAGTTAAGCTATAAGAAACTGCAATCTTGTGCTTTTTAGACAAACATATAGGTCGGGAAAGGAGGCTACATGCCCAAGAGTGAAGAATACTTATAGCTCATAAACCAAGGGAGAGAGGGCTCTCTGTTCCCAGCAGAAAGGCTGGAGGAAACAGACTCATTTTTTTGTGAACAAAAATGACAGGATGTTTGTGCAAAGATGAGGACCAGTCCCAAACCAGAATATCAAGGAAACCAAAATCCCAAGAATTTAGGTCACAAACTTGTTAGGGTAGGGACTGTCTCTTTGGTCTGTGCTTATACAGTGCCTAAGAACATGGGAGTCCTGCTCCATGGCTGAGATTCAGAAATGCTACACTAACTCAAATAGTCACGCAGCAGAACACACTCCATGATTTGCCTGAAGACTACAGCTCAGGCATTATAAATGAGCTCACTTTTCCTACGCTACGATAAGCCTTATAGAGAGAGACTAGTCTAAGTATTTTTGCTAAGGCTAATAAAGAGCATAGGCAAATCAACATGACAAGTAATTCACCATTAAGAGTTTGATTTCATCAGCCTGGACACAATGCATTATAAACTAGGAAATTATATGAGGCAAGAGCCGATAGCATCAGTATTTAACATTTATTTTCCATTACTTAACTGTAGACAAGCAGCACAGCACCTATTTACTGCTCTCTCTCTCTAGCTGCATCTACACTGGCGCGTTCTTGCGCGAAAACGGCTGCTCTGTGCAAAAACATGCCGCCTGTCTACACTGGCTGCACGTTCTTGCGCAAGTAAACTGACATTGTATTGTAGAAAATCGGGGCTTCTTGTGCAAGAACTCTGATGTTCCCTCTCAGGAAGAAGCCCTCTTGCACAAGAGCTCTTCCAGAAGAGGCCAGTGTAGACAGGCAACGTGAATTTCTTGCGCAAGAAGCCCCTATAGTTAAAATGGCCATCAGAGCTTTCTTGCACAAGAGAGCGTTTACAGTACCATGGATGCTCTTGTGTAAAAGCATATGCCAGTGTAGATGTACGCTTGTGGAAGTCTTTTTGCGCAATAACTTTTCCACAAAAGAGTTCTTGCGCAAGAAGCTTCCAGTGTAGACCTAGCCAGATCTGTGTATATATAGAAAGTTTTTCCAGCGGGACAACAGTGATGTCATTATGTCACACTGCATCCTGCAGCCCCTCCCCCTTCAGCCACCTGGCCTCCTCCCTCCCTTAGCTGTGCTGAGGACCCCAGCCTCCCTGGTACCGGGGTGGGGGGGGAGAGGAAGTGGGTGGACAGAGGGTGTCAGCCACACAGTCTTCCTGGTCTCCGCAGAGCTTGGGGGGGAGGGGGAGCCATGCTCTTGCAAAGTCTCCCCTGCCATGGACTCGGCCAAGCCCTACCCTCTGACATCCGAGGGTGTATGGGGGGGAGCGAAGAATGGCCAGGCCTCACCCCCCTCCCATCCCTGGTGGTCAGGTGCGGGGCAAGGGCCTGGG